CAGAATGGTGTGGGTCAGTGCCTTGAAAGAAACCTGCTAATATACACCTGCTAATATATACCTCACAGTCCTCTCATCTCTATAGCCATATGCATACCCTACTGCTTCTGTCTCTCTGGAGAACCTGATAGTATAGCCACCAAGAAACAACTTCTGGCTAGGGGACACAGGGCCCAGCACCTGTGGCATGAAGGCCACATGGTTGGTCCTTGACAAGTGCTGTCACAGGCAGTGACATGGGTTCCTGCAATACCTAACTCAATGGACAGGATGGATTTCCATTGTTCTTCTGGCTGGAGAAGAGGGTCCTATGTCCATTCAGAATGACATGGCCACACCAGGAAGGGCCTTAGCCCTGGTTACACTGTGGATAAAGGAAGGTTGCCAGTGACCAGGAGAGACCACACTAGGTGGTTACTGTGCCGGGAAGAAATGTATATTGTGTTAAACCATTGAAGTGTGGGCCTGTTTGTTACAGAAGCTGACTGGGTGCTGCCTGATACACACAGGGATAGACATAGCATTTCCTGTGTCTCCAGATCCACTGCAACACTAGGCCTCCCTTCTATGGACATGGGGGATCACCTGCTGACTGCTTCATCCTGGAGAGGCACTGTGCAGGACAAAGATCAGAACGCTGTCCCTATTTTGAGGAACCTATGCTCTAGGAGGACGGAAAGGGGACATGCACATCATTAACCAGCAATCCCCAGAGCTCCCCTTCCAGGATGGTGTTCCTCAATGCTCACTGTGCCATGGTCATATGCTGCTCTTTGCTGACAGCTCTGAGGCCAATGCATGCAAAAAGATGCACTGTGTAAATGGGAGAACACTGCTGTCTCTCAAGCTTGGTAAAAGATGAAAACTATGGTCATAGTCTTCCCCTAACTCTTCACACACCTCATCTTAAGCCTTGACATTTTACATGAAGAATCTACCCAGAACCACTAAATAAACCTTGTAACAGATGCAAAATGGAGGCAGTGGGCCAGAGAATGGACCAACAATCTCTCTCTTCTCTCTGTGCCTCCCTGTAGCTCCTGCCAACACACAATCAGTGGTGTTCATGCTCCAGGATCACCACACCAGCTGCGTGTTGAGGAGGCTGCTCTGATATGAAACAGACCAACATGCAGAACATGACAAGTCATAAGGAACGGGCCAGAGCCCAGCTTCGTGACTTCCTGCCTGTGCTTCCCTAGGTGCCACAATAGGGATGCTCAAATGAGAATTCCTGTCTCATTTGCTCCCCAAGATCAGAGGGGATATGTGTGTCTACTAGGAACCCAGAAGAGCCACAGACATGCAATGTAAGAAGTCAGAGAGAGGCTGGGATGAGCAAGTGCTTCACACACCAAAGGCCTAACTGCCCAGATACTTGTGGAACTGGGCTTAGCTTGTAAAGTCTGACCAATCCATAACCAGGTCCACTGTTTCATCGTGCTGTTAGTTCCCAGCCCCTGATGTCTTTCACTGGGCAATGAGGATGCAGCTGGTCCTGTCGTCAGGCAGAAAGTGTCCTATATGGCCACTTCATGGGGCTGCTCATTCCTTGAATCATTTACCTAGTTCATTTAATGCTCCTGAGTGGGAGGTGACAGCTATGTGTTTACTTTACCATATAAAACCATGATAGAGCAGAAGAACTTTCAAGGGTTCAGATAAGGCTCTGTGTAGAATGAGCTTGCTGGATGGAAGTATTTAAAAAATATTGTGGATCATCTTTTTGGGTTCTATGTATATTCAAGGTCTGCAAATTTTCAATGTCAAAGCCACAAAAAGCACTATGAAAGAAAAAAGTAGAAACTGGAGTTCATGTAAAATTTAAAAGCCTTCCCCTCATTAGAAGACACAATTAGAAAATGGAAAGGTAAATCAGAGGCTAGAAAAAAATATTTGCAACATATGCCAGACAAAGGCCTAATAAACAGAATTATCTACAGAAAAAGAACTCCCACAGACCAAAATTGAAAAGAAAAATATTCCAATGAGAAATGGACAAAAAACTTGAACAGATTCTTCCCCAAAGAATTTAAACATGTAGCGTACAAAAAGTGCTTCAATAACAACAGTCTCAGAAAAATGCAAATCATGCCCATGATAAGATATCATATCACACCCTTCAGATGGCTGAGGTTAAAATACTGATACTACCAAGTACCAAGGAGAAGGTGGAGCACCTGGAACTCTCAGATCCTACTGTAAGGGTGTAAATGCCATGACATGGGAGAACCCTTTCTTATAAAGCTAAACATGCTCCCACTATGTGATCCAGCAGATCTACAGGAAAAGACTTATACAAAACATTCCTAGCAGCTTCACTGACATTAGTCCAAATGAGAAGCAATGAAACTGTCCACACCAGGAAAATGAATGTACAGACTATGGCATTCAACACATAATGGAATAGTCCTCAGCAACAAACATGTAGAAATTGCTGCTATGCTTAACAGTAGAGCAGAATATCACAGGCACTGGGTTGAAGGAAAGAAGTTAGACCCCAGAGTACCAGCTGTAGGATTCATCTGTAGGAAATGGAACAGACAAAGCTGATCTGTGCTGGCAGAGAGCAGAATGGTGCACGTCTCCTGGAGGTAGGAGTATTGTCTAGGGAGCAGCTTGGGAGAAATTCCTGGGGTGAGGAAGCATTGTGTATGCTAATTGCAGCTAGCGATACAGGTATATACATTTTTCATAGTACGCTCAACTCTTCCCATAATCTGTGCACTTCACTGCATGCAAATCATACCTATACAAGAAATTTTAAAAAGTTGGTAGCAAGTCAGAGTGTCAGAAAGCCCGGGGCAAACAGAGCTCAGGTTGCTCAGGGATCCTCCCTTGGAGTCCAGCTCAGATTCTACCTTCTCTGAGTTGTGTCATGATGACCACTTCTCATCTCAGGTTGCCAGGAGGCCTTGCTTTTCTGGTCCATGGCCTTCTATGGGTCAGCAGAGGTATTAGGTTCACAATTCACCATCAGGGCATCCCTAGGACCTGTGCAAGTCACCCAAATGGCAAAAGGCAACTGAGGCTGCAGATGGAATCTAAGCTGCTAATCAGGTTGCCTGGACCTGGGTTATCTGGGTAGCCATCTAATCACATGAGCCCTTAAGGTGGAAGAGGAGGAGGCAGGACAGAGGGTCTGAGATGCAATCGCTGACCCTGGGCTCAGGGGCGGGGATGGGACCACAGTTAAGAATGCTACGGCCTGTGGAAGTTGGAGAGGGAGGAAACGGACAAACCCCCACAACCAGGGCTTTTGGAAGGAACACAGCCCTGCCTGGTGGGCCCCATGCCAGACTTTTGACCTCTAGAACAGCGAGGGAATAAACCTTGTTGTGTGAAGCCACTCTGCGGCAATTTGTTCCAGCTGCTAAAAGATCCTTAATTAAGGATCTTTCCTCAAACACTACTGTACTTGTTTCCACAATAAGTCATCATCCCTGGGAAGCTCCCTCCCAGGAGGGGCCAGGAAAAGCCACAAGCTCTCGTCTGGGACATAGGGCAATGCCACAGGGGGGAGGGGATGTAGGCTGTTCTAGCTGCCCTGCTTTTTCCTGCCCAGTCCCCCAGAAAGCCACTATTTCCCAGAGAATGGAGAGAGCAGGAGGGCCCAGTGACCCTCTGTGGCCCTCCAGGGTTGCCCTGTGCAGACTTGGCGCAACCAGGAATGCCCAACCAGCACACCTGAGTCTTTCTAACAAGACTGAAGGGGAGGCAACCCAGCATGCTCTGAGGGTCAGCACAAGAGGGGGATGGGGTGATGAGCCCACTGGGGGAGGAGGGGCCAGGGGAGGAAGGAGTGAAGTCATGGATGTAATCTTGACCTTGCTAGACCTAAGAGGCTGGGCCCTGTCACTACATCCAGCAAAACTGTTCCTCTTGCTTGCTGACTGCAGCCCCCACCGCCCTCCCCACAGAGCACAATCCCATCTTTCCTTTCAAGCTCCAGTTTGGAACATATTTTATCTCAACACCCCACAATATGGTCTAGTGTCTGTACCAAGCAACAGGGCACTCCCAGGTTCTCAGAGAGGAAGCCCGGAGGGCCCCTCTGAGACCAACCCAGGCTGCTCTAAGGGGATGGAGGTAAGATGCCTCCAGCTTCATAAAGCTCATGGCTTTTAGGCCTTTGCTGGCCCAGGTGGACCTGACCAGGGGTGTCAGATCCTTGTAGTGCACCTGGACTGAGAACCTTAAAAACGGGATAAAGGACACATTGGAGAGCACTCAGTGGCCAAAGGGTCCACACAAGGAGACAGCAAGGTCAACGATTGCAAAGGGCCTCGTGGCCATTTTTGAGGGTGCACTGTTGGCCTGGAGCCCACAAAAGCCAGATACAGACAATACATGTGACCCAAGACACTGAGGCATCCTCCTTCCCCAATTCTCAGGTGTCTGTGTCTTGCCATTTCATATGCATGGTCTCCTAATACCATCATCAAGCTGATTTTTTTGTAACCCATTTCAGAACAATTCTCTACCAGGCTCTACTCAGGAGTTCTGAGAAGATGCAGGATGGCTGCTCTCTGAGCACTGGGCAGCTCCCATCCCAGGTTCTACCCAGATGCTCCTGGGAGGTACGGTGGAGTCCTGACTGGCAGTGGGGAGCTGCTGTTTCCTGGCATCCATACAGATATAGAAAAATAAATTTAGTCAACCCCTGAAGGCTTTCTTTGATGCTCAGGACACACCATCCACGTTTCCTGGGACATGTGCTGAGTGGCCTTATAATTGAAAGCTTCCATACCAGCTCACAATGAATTTGTGCTTTGGACAAAGCCCAGTGGAATGGAAGCAGCCAGCCTGTTTCCAGCCATCTAGAGAAGTCTTTGGTTTGTCGCTTGCCAACCCTCACCGCACAATTCCAGCCAACCAACCCTCACTGCACAATTCCAGCCAACCAACCCTCACTGCACAATTCCAGCCAGACCCATAGCACAGCCATCGGCTGTAGAGGGGCTGAGAACACAGAAGCCTGTCTGGCGTAGCTGCCTTACCTGCTTGGCCATCCTTGGGCTTACATTGCACCTCCTCCACGCACTCAGCTGGAAACCACCCAATGTGGCCACGGGCGCTGCCTTCCCAGAAGCCCCCTTCGCCGATGCTCAGAACTAGAAGCAATGGAAAGGGAAAGGTATTAGCCAGAGGGAACAGAGGGACAGAGGGAGCCAGGATAATGGGGGCTGGGCAGGAGGATCAAGGGCCAGTGCCCGCATCTGTAGACCATGCCTCCTTCAGCTATGAGTGAGGGGACCTACCCAAGACCCAGACTCCTGCCTAGGGGCATTTCCATCTAGTAGGTGACAGGAGGAGCCAAAGCCCTGGACATCTATCAGCTCTCTTCTCATGTGTCATAAGAACTAAACTGCATGCCACTTTGTCCAATCTCTTGGTGTTCCACTGAGGCAGGAGAGTGGGATGGATGTCCTCACCATTATGACTTCACATGTAGAAGTGGGCAGCCGCTGCCTCCAAAGGAAAAGGGAGTGCTGGGGCCATGTTGTTTCTCCTCACCTGGGTGGCAGAAGGCAGGAGAGTGGGAGCAGATCAGCTGCCTGGCTCTGGGGGTCTCTCAAAGCAAAGAGAGGAGAAACCCCCAGTAGGGGGGTTGGTTTGCTGATTATGAGCCATCATCCTGCTAGATGTTGCTAAAGGCGCTGGACAGACCATGTGCCCAGTGCCTACCTGTTGGAGTTCAGGACCTTTGACACACAGACTCACTAATGAGGAACATGCTAATTACAGTCCTGCTGGGAGAAGCAGCGATTTCTGACTTTGTGAGAGAAAGGAAGGTGGCCACATGGTGCCTTGTCCTCAGGGGTCAGTGTGCATAGCTGGACAGACACAGTGACCCCAGCCTGCAGGGTGGGTACTTCTCAGTCCAGCTCAGCATTTCCCTTCCTGGGCCAGGTTCTGGGTGCACCATAGGTGCTCAGTTAACATAGGCTGGAAGAGTAAAGGGTGTTAGGTTTGTTAATTCAACTGTGAGCACGAGTGAGAAACCCAGATACCACAGGCTGGAGAGAAGTTCCACCAGGGTTGCTCTGCCCCTACGGCCCCGTTTTGCTAAACGTTTTGGTTGTAACAGCAAAACACAGGGTGGTACAATGGAGAAAGAGAATCTGTATATTTTAGGACACTGGTGCTGGGCTAGGGTTGCCCCTGAGCTACTTGCTCCTTCCAAATATGGCCATGCAATGGGGAGATCAAAGTAATCTCTCCACACTTTAATCTTCTTTTCCATTACTCTGGATGTGAAGGACCCAGGACTGCAGAAAGGGGGTCATGGCACCAGAAGTGCTTTCTGTTATCCTTTTTCTGCACCTCAAAAGCCAGATAAAGATCCATCTGGTTCACAGTTTTGGAAGGTCAACAGAACAGAAAACATCGGCTTTATAATTCTTGCTTAATAATCCAAAGAAATGACCTAAATGAAACAGACAAGCTGCATCCCAGCTGACCAGTGCCACCATAACTGCTGGAAGCAATTTCCTCCAAAAATCAATGCTAGCCCCTTAGATTCCATGCAGCCCAGCTGATGGATGCTCCACACAGTCTCCCAATAGAGCTCTGGGTTTCATAAAATCATCTCAGGGTGCAGACCTGGGTTGCATGAGGAGGCACAGGACCTGCTCATGTGCTGTGTAGTGACGGCCCATGAGGACACTTACAGTGTCCTTTGCTGCATGGCTGTGAGCAGGTCATTCTGAGAGCCTGATATCTTGTTCAATGGGAGGATCTAATGTTGAAACTTTCATATACGGGGCCTCCCTGTTATCCTTCCCCAGCACCTCCTGTGACCTGCAAAGCCAGGAGATATGGAAGGGACACAGAGGGGTTGTGGCACAGATGTGGGTTGCGCCTACTGGGAGAGGCAACTTCTCATGTGGACCCGTACATGATGAGATTATTAAAAGGGGCTTAGTCCAGGGAGGGCTATGCACTCAATAGTAATGTTTTAAACACTGTCTATGTGAGGACCCATGTGGGCAGTGAGGAGGATGTTATGACAAGGTATTTTCCTGGCTATCAGCTGACCATGGCTGCAAAGGTAGCAGCATCCTGTGTGTCACCATTGTGTGTGTTACCATACAGATATGTTACGGTGCTGATGCTTGTGAGGTCAACTGAATGTCACCCAATGTGTAAAGGTGTAAGTTCTTCCCATGACTGGCTCATATCAACATTCAAAATTGCAGGTCATATGAGTTTTTACATTTATAATTTAACAACTAACAAAAATCTTGGGTTAAACAATATTTGTGCAATTCAGGACATTCTGCTTGTAGATATGAAGACCCTATTTACTATACCATTGGAAATAGCTCCAAAACCCAAACATAATGCAAAAAGCAACAAGCTAGAGAGGCTGGAAGTTGAAGAGAAGAAGCCAGACCTCACTGGGGATCTGTGCTTGCCTGGAAGAGTAGGGTGGAAATAGCACAAGAATCTCTGTGGTTTTCAGGCCAGGCTAAGTCCAGCTCTCATGGCAGGGCTACCAGTGGAGAAGCCCTGCATGGGGACAGCCAGGGAGGTGGAGCCAGGAAACCATAGACTCTGGGTGGAGAAAGTCCCTGCAAAGAAAAGGGTCAGAGGGGAGTCGGCAAACTCAGACTCCCCACATCTCCAGGGGAACCCAAACACACACACACACAGAACAAACTCAAAGCAGCTAACCATTATGAGATCTGAGCTTGCACAGAGCTGTCACCCAAGCAACCTTCTAAAGCGAAGAGAAGAAATCATGAGAAAAAAATCTCCAGAAGCCAGACTCTCCATTACTTAACACGCTGAAAATCCAGAATGCAGCTGAAAATCACAGGATATATGAAATAAGAACAAAACATGCGCTCAAGAGATAAAGAGAATCACCTGAACTCAAACCCAGCATGGACCTGAAGTTGGACTGTCAGACAGGGTTTACTGTGGCAGTTATACCAAGCTATAATGTTGTGAGCCAACGCAGGTTTGCAGTGAACAAAACAATCCCAACAGAGTAATGGGCATCTTGGCAAACCAAAAGCAGCAATGAAAAGTGTATACATAGAAAGTCCAGCACACAAATAATTTCTGAAATTATAAAATTAACAAATTGAACTTGGAAGAAAAATGAATAGAACTCTAAGAATATTTTAGATGCCATCAGATGGGATGCCAGGGATTAAGGGAGACGATGGAATACTGTCATCTCCAGAGCCTTGCCATAACCCAGATGAAGTCAGGCCAATGAGTGTGTGGGACAAAGAGAGAAACTGATTACTTGCCTTGGGCCAAACAGCAACATGAGGGGGAAAGAAAGATTGGAAGCTCGCTACCAGACTCTAAGGAGCATACTTGCTATCCTGTGCCATACATCTTCTAGAAGCCTGTTCAGGTGTCCCTTCCTTGCTCTACCCAGTGGGTGGCAAATGCCTACATGTGGCCTCCACAGCCCCCTTCCACCTCTTCCCTGGGTGACCTTCAGCTACAGGACTCTGATAATGCCACCATCAATTTCTCTCCATCCTGGACATAACCCTTACTGCAAGTGCCTTGCACATTTGATTTCCCTGTGCAGAAACCACTACTGGCTCCTAACAAAGCCTAACTCCTTGCTTGAAATTCACAGTACATATCAAAATGCTTTTTAATCATCATTTCCAGGATCCTGCCTTCTGAATCTCCTTCCACCTGGTGAATTTCCTTCCTTTGAACACTGCAGGCCTCCAGACCTTGGCCCATGCTGGACCAGATGCCTGGATATCCCAAATCTGACCTACACCAGGGCCTGCCCCTGATCCACTTCCTCGTGGGTCTCAGAAGTCTCATTATTGGAAAGGAGCTCTGCTTACTGGGATGCCCTGGGATGGGCAATTTCCATGCTAAGTCTCACCCAGATGTATGTGTGCAGCCTTCCTCCCAGGCTCAGACCAGGCACTACAGCTGGCTTCCCTCCACAGAGCTAGTGCACATGGCTCTGCTCCCATTCTTACCCTCCCAGGGGTCAGAACTTCCCATGGGGCCCTGCAGGAGCCACATCTTAGATGTTGCCACTCAGCAGATCTACTGAGGGGGACAATGGAGGCCAAGTGGCTCTAGTCTGCACTGCCCCAGAAGCAGAGGACAACAGGTGAACACTGACCTTTGACTCTGTCACCACGGTGAAGGGGGATCTCGCCATCGACTTGGGGTTGGTATGGCTTGACGACGACGAAGAGTCTCCCAGGCACTGCGCTGTAGAGTTTCCGCTTGGGCCCTGGGTACTCGAAGGCTGAGAGGGAGCCCTTGTTGGCACCAGGAGCAAGAGATGGCCTGAATCAATGAGAGGGAAGAGGGAGGGAGATGGTCAGAGAGCCACATGTCACCCGCTGTGCCCAGTACAACCCATAGAGTCTATTCCACAAGCTGTCACACTGTACCTGTGAGGTCAAACAGTCACTACAACAGGGATAGACCAGGGCAATCTCTGTGGCAGAAGGACGCAGTAGGCCCAACCATCTCACTTCTGGGTATATCCCCAAAGAAGTGAAATCAGGGCCTCAAAGATATGTTGCACACCATGTTTTACTCAACAACCAAAAGGCGGAGGCCACTCAGTGTCCATGGATTGATGGTTCGCTCATACTGTGGAACAGGATTCAGCCACAGAAAACAGGCACATCTGACACACGTGAGAGACAACCCAGATGCACCTTGAGGACGTGGTGCTCAGTGAGCTAAGCAAGTCACAGAAGGACAAATCTTGCATGGTTCTGCTCACATGAGGTCCCTAGAGTGGTCAGGTCCATAGAGACAGGAAGTAGGATGGGGTCCTGGGGGCTGGGAAGGGGGCTGGGGAGTCATGTTTTAAAGGGGACAGAGCTTTGGCTTGAGGAAGATGAGGAGGTTCCGAAAGTGGATGGTAGTGATGGCGGCACCATGGTGTGAATGTGCTTAATGCCCCTGACCTGTGCACTTAAACATGGCGAAAATGGTGATGCTCTGTTGTGTGTATTTGAGCACAATTTAAAAAGGAAAGGCTGAGGTGGAGGCAGAAATGAAGGGAAGCCCTGGGTGTCTCATTTCATCCATGCACTGCCAGTGTTAGTCATGCTGGGTTAGGAAGCCTTTCATCAAAAGCAGCCATTATCACCGAAGTCTGAGCCCAGCGACACTCCCGAGAAGAATTTCAATCCTGTCTTGTTTTATGTCACTGATCGCAAGAAGCATGCATGTCAGGCTGACCTCCCCACGGGGGCAGCCTCATGCTTTCTCAAGGAAAGCACCCATCTACGTGGACTGGCATGAAACGGACTTGCAAGGAAAATTCTAGAAGCAAATAGGACTTGCTTAGTATTTAGTGTGACCCTCCCATATGTACCCTTGGTACCACACATACCCTATGTGTGCCTCCGTCAAAGCTGCAGAAGCACTGTGGTGTAGTAGTCTGCACCTTTCACTTCCCCACTCAGGGCTGTGACAGTGAGATGCAGCCAGGGGGACCTGGGCAGGCGTCATTAAGGAGCCCAGTCTGAAGATGTCGAAATGGGGCTGTGGCAGGCTAAATTTAGACCTTCATTTAAACTGCTGGCAAGGAGTGGGTTGGGACTGAATGCACAATGTGCCTGCCTGGCCCCAAAGCCCAGATTGCCCTTTACCCACGTGGAGCAGAATGCAGGAAAAGCAGTCTGGTCACCTGACCTCTTGTGACACAGGTGGGAGGCCTGGAGGGTCCCCTGAGCTCCAGGACACTGGGAGAGGTGGGAGGCTGCCCACAGTTGGCATTGTTCCCAGGGACGCCCCCTGCCCAGAGTTTTCTCCAACCAAATCACGGCCACCAATGTAATGATCTCAGAATCCCTGTGATGTGAGCTTTGTCACCATCAAGCAGCCCTGGGTCAAGGTGGAGTCACGGGCAGGTGCGGCCTCTATGTGATCTCCTCACCCAACTCCTCCTCACCTAGCCAGCTGCATTCCACCATGGGACTTGGTGGTTGTCATTTAACCCCAAGCACCCAGTGCTGTTAGAGTGGTGACTTCTACGACAGCAGAGTTGTGAGAGTATCTTGTCCAAAAGTGTAGCTCATTCAGCAGGCCAGTGACATGTGGAGAGGGGCATGTGGGCATGTGGGCCACCTCTAAGCAGGGCCCTCCATGTTCCCTGAGA